TTAATAATTAAAAGTGTAAACAAAATATAAAAAGCAGTAGACCACCAGTAACATTACCTACTTATCACAATTTTCTGGTAGCTGTTACGTCAGAAGCAGCAACATCAATACATATCTACGATGCATACGTGCACCCTCGAGATGGAGTTGCCATTAACGTATGGGCTCACTGGACTAACAAATCAGGTTTTGTGCTGACCCATGACCGAGAGAGAATACTTAGGAGACTGGATTTAAAGAGACATCCCTTGAGAATTGCAACTCCTGTAAGTAATAAAGTCACTGGTACAAAACATTTCGTTTAAGACTATTTAAAGAAGTTATTAATTATACTTAGTTTAAAAGGTTTACTTTCATTCACTATTAGGTATCTACCTATATAATATTAGGTATTTATATTTGTATTTTACCTATTAGGTATCTACCTAGATAATTTAGAAGTTTTTGATTTTGTAGTCAAGTAAGAATTTATATGCCATGTATTCACTATTCATATTATACTTATGTTTTATGTTCAGGTAGGACATTATAGTAGCGATAAGTACGATGGAACTTTCGTTGACTTTTTGGAAGACGAGTCTATCTCTGACCAGGACCCTGGGATTCGTAGTGGTTACGGCACATCTATGCTTCTCACTGAAGTAGTTAATGCTCAGTAAGTATTTTAGTAGGCTTTTTAATTGAAACTACTATTTTCTTCACATTTGTTAACTATTTATACGTTTTCTTGCTTTGAAAAGTATGTTACAACGTCATAAATGTCTAATGCGTGAGGTAAATTTCAGAGATGTCTTAATAGAAAACGAGCTATGGGCGGCCATGATCAACAACAACAGTATGTACGTAATGCTATCCATGGGAGAAGCTGATCTCTCTGGAGGCATACTACGGATCCTTTGGGACAGGACCTTTACACTAGACTATGTTATGCCAATTTGGCCTTTCAGGTATTCAGACTTTAGACTTTAATTTCGTTAATAAAGTTACGGACCATCCTTGGTGCATAGCTTGCTCGCCCGGTTAAAGTCAAGCGTGACTTTGCAGTAGGGAATAGTTATGAACTTCAAGAAGTAATAACAAATTGTCATGGCACTAAATGTAAACATAATGCAGGTAAATTCGGTCTTAATTCCTCAGGGTAGGGTTCACGTACTTAGCTGAGCGTGAAAGCAGTAGCAACATGTACTTGGAGCCATTCTCTCCAGCAGTCTGGTGGTCCTGTCTCGCTATGATGGCTATTCTCGCACTAGTTGAGAGGGTCACGTCAAAAACGCCGAAGGAGAAAGATGGTGCCTTCTATACTGTGCTTACTACGTGGTTGCAGCAAGGTGAGGGCATGGTTCTTCATTCTTTAATAACATTTTTTATTATATAACTTAAAATCAATCAAATTGACGCACTGACATCTGTACAAAGATTCTGGAGAAAATTTTTGGGGCATAATATTTTTGATCCTACTGATTCACTGTCGAAATTGCCAATAATCAAATTAATATAATTTTGTATTTTTTTTAATTTTATACATATCTATATCTACATTTATCCTCTGTCTCCCTAAAAGGAAATAAATATCTTTAATTTTGTCACATGTAATGTTTCTCCACACAAGATGCCAGTGCGGTTCCAGAAGGTGCTTCAGGTCGATGGGCATTCACAGTCCTGTCCGTGAGCGCTATGTTGGTCCATGCATACTACACCTCGGCCATAGTTTCCGCTCTCATGAGTACTGGCCGTGGTGGACCTGACTCTCTCAGAGCACTTGGAGACTCGAAGTACGCGATAGCTTCGGAGGACTACGATTATATGCGATATTTGTTCTTTGATGTAAGTTAATGTGAAAATGAATATACTAATATTTCCTAAATGCTTTTTGTGTAGCAAAAACATACTTTTTATTTGTATCTATAGGTGGAAACAACATGGGACGACTTAGAATACTTGAAGAAGAAGAAAATGACATCAAAGTTCTACCAGGAGTTAGAACGTGGTGTGGAACTAATACAACAAGGTAGTACTGCCTTCCACAGCGAATACAATCAGATCTATCCGCACTTCAAAACCTTCAGTGATGAACATATCTGCAAACTGCAGCATGTTGACACTATTCCTGAGGTAAGGACTAAGTAGTTTCTGTTTTGATAGACTAGAACATCAATAGGATAGGTAATACAAATAAATTGATTATTTATCATCAATCGTAAAATGTGTGGAAAATGGAACAAGAGATTTAGGGCACGTGTAGACGACGCTGCAATGCTGTGTATACAATGCCGACACCGCGTCGTGTACACGAGCCCTTAGGAGTAATATGTACGTGTACCTATGTGAAAGTTGTGAGTGCAAAGCAGAAGAAATTCCCAATACTTAACGAACAACGGTTTTCATCAACAAGTCACGTAACCAACTTACACTATTTTCCATATATTTCTATACATTATCTAATTAATTTCCATACATTTGACTAAGACTGTAGCTAACTGTACCTTTAAATAATGTAGAATTACTTGGTAACCTCCTTTTATTTTCTCCCTTCATCTATTAGACTCAGTTTTAAATCGTTTCTTCACCAGACATTAACCTGGATAACATCAACGAAAGATGGTCAGTGGACTGAAGTCTTACGAACAGCTGGAGGTTGGTTACTGGAGACAGGACTAGGGAAGCGTCTGGTAGCGAGATTGAGGGTACCTCAACCTCCTTGCCGAGCATCCCTCCTTGCTGAGAGGGTCAAACTAGGTGACATAGCATCCTTACTGGTCCTTACTGTATTTGGTGCTTTGCTCTCAGTTTTCTTACTTGGACTAGAGATTCTAGTCGCTAAGGCTAAAAAGGCTAGCCTACCCGAAGGTGAAGCAAAAGTAATCTTAGAAAATGTTGACGATAACCTCGATACTATTGAAAACTGTATATATATAGAGTAGAAAGTAAAATGTTAGTATTAAATTTCCTAAGCATAAAATAAATTATTGAATTGCATAGTGTAAATCTTTCAAGGTTCAAAATTGCTTGTAGTATTGTAGTTACTAATGTTGTAGTTCTATTTAACATGTAGATTTATTGTAAGTACACGCTATTGATTGTATTTTATTTTAGTTTCTTAATGTATTCAAATACGTCTATTATATTATATATTCTAATATACTGAATCGTTGAATATATTAAAATTATAGAAATATTAGCCAAATATTACGTCTTTATTTTTTAACCAAGAAATTGAAAGCCTGTTTTAAAATAAACTCTTTTCATAGGTTAAACTGTGCAAACTTTGATAATTACTTTAACCTTAACATATCACATAGATAATAGAATAAACTTAAAGAAGAAACAGTATCTAATTAAATTCCAACTAATCTAACCAGCAGATAGGACGCGAAGAGACCACGCTTATCTTAAACGTCCTTATCAAGTCACTATCACTTTCTCCTCATCATCACGTTTGCCATCAGATTACGATCTTCAAATGATATTTATATATCATAGTTCAGACTCAATCATCATCTTGTTGGATTCTGCAGTAGGTTAAGGAGTTGGAGCCCTCAAAATGTTAAGGTTATTAATAAAACTAAGTGCATTATCTATAGGACTCGGCTATGTAAGCGCTACCTGTTCCCCACAATCACATGTAAGTACGCTTTTTTGAGCTTAATTTTTATTTTTATCCATAGTTCTAATGTTTTGAATTTCTTATACTACTACTTATACTTGACTATATAAACTATACTGTATAAATTCAATTTACTAATGAACAAAACAAAAAGAATTATCTATGCATGTTTCCTAACGAATGCAAATGCAAATAAATTCTATTTAGGTATCAAGTTCATATATCCACAATTCCTTGGGATTTTTTATTTATTTTATATATTACAACAATTTCTTAACAAAGATGAGAGACCTCAATTTTCATAATTTATCATTGATTTCAGATGGCGGCTCTCCATGATCGTATGAACCAAATGATCACTGCTCTCTATGCCTCTTGTAAGTAATATTTCCTTATTATTTAAACATTTTACTTATTTATACGACTTATTAATTTAGTGGTAACACTGGTGTCTACCAGCAAGAATAGGATTCCTTTTCGATTCCAAGGTGAAACTAGAGCTGAGTATAAGCAACTCATATTGAGCTCAAAACGTAATGATGAATAGATTTTAAAGATGAAAACATACGGCGTTTACTATATTATGATCAACTATGTCTATCTAAAAGGGAAAATGTTATGATTGATTATTAAACTAACCAATTACAAAGCAACTGAAAAGCTTGACTTGACCTTACAAGCGTTGTACCTATTTTCTAAGTCCTATTATGTGCATAGACTTAATTAACTCTTTTCTCGCTATATCGCGCACGGAACTAAACAATATAGGTGATACTTAGTGGGGCAAAAAACGTAAAATTATTTTCATGTCCAAATATAAACATCATTTCAATGTTACGACATTTGATTTATTTAATTATTGTTAAAATTATATGTATGTATACTTGTGTTGTCTAAATAATTATATGAAAGATTTCATTATTTCAAATGTACCTAGGTACTAGAATGATCAACTTCAACTACTATCTACATCTACCTATAAGTAAAAAATAGTAGCCAAAATTTATTTCTCACATAAGAAAATCTTGTATTTAAACAGCTCTGTAGAACGGCATTTCAATAGGATTAAACCGTTACGGAAATCTTCACGGACTAAGTCGCAAGATAAACACTAGTAAAACACTTATAAAATGTGTTGACGTATTGCGAATACTAATATACATAGTAACAATAAATGTACGTATGAATAAAAATAATGTATGTATGATTGTATTAATGTATGTATGACCACTTGGTCATAAAATAAATAGTTGTTACCGATTTACACAAAAAAATATATGTCAATAACATGGCAGGAATACAAATAGGTTTCGTTACCTTTGGAAAACTTTGTGTTAAGGTTAGGTAGGTACCTATTTGAGTATTTATAACACAAATTAATACTTAAATACACAACTGCAGCCGTAGAAAGATAACTTCAACTAACTACATACGTTTACTTGAAATTAATCTAGAATAATAATAAAAAATCTGTTCATTTACAAAGTAAATCAGAATATAAAGCATGTATTAAAAAACTCTACTACTACAACTACACAATAATGTCGTATATCATAAGGTCGAATATCAATATGACCGACTTGAAACTACCTAAGTATCACATATTGCGCAACCTATAAAACAACTGACTTTGTATTTCGTGTGGAATGCAATTAATTAATTATATTGTTTATTTAGTATGTAGGTGCGATCAAAGGTACAACTCCGACCTTTAACTAATATATAAGTACTTGAATAATGCAGTATCGGTATTTTATCTAATTGCTCATGTTTTGTGCTCCGAAGAACATAATCATTATTTAATATGACTTCGAAGTGTGCAAAGACCATCCCTGTTGTTATATTTTTATTGTTATCGTCTTCAAAAATATTTCGCATATTCCGTTTCCAGCTCCGCTGTTATCAAAGGTGCAGCCGCCTACAACCAGTCCTTCAACTGATGAGAGTCCACCACCTACAGAGTATACCACACCACCACCAACGACCACATACGACCCTTCTTCGTACCTTTACCCCCAAGTGATATTTGTGTCCTCTTCTCCTTCTGCTGCACCTAGTCCTCCAATAGCTTCTGTTCAAGCTCCAGCCCCGCGGTATGCTTATGAACTTAGTCCACCCCCTGAATTTACTCCAAGTCCGCCAAAACCACCTCAACCTTTATCATATGGTTATGAATATCAGTTTCCTCCATACGCTCCTCCCACCTATCCTCCACCGTGTACGCCATACCCATATCCTTACCCGACACAGCATGAACAGCCTCCTACTGCTTACAAACCGTATTCTCCACCAGCCTCATCAACAACTGCGTACAAACCATATCCTCCACCGCCCCCACCACCAGTATCTTATCCGCCAGCTCCCTACCCAGTAGCTGCTCCCTATCCACCTGCACCCACTTACTATCCAGCTCCACCACCTTGTCCTCCTTCATATCCCCCTCCTCCTGTGTATCCAGCTCCCCCGACTTATCCGGCATCCTATCCAAAATATGAAATACCACGCTATGCTTAATATGTAAAGGTTCAAACATATTTAATTACGTGGCTTAGATAAGAATTGAATTAATAAATTATGTTTATTACATTTGTGTAATTTATGTTTTTTTTTTTGTTTTCCCTAACAACTGTGAGATATTAAGCCTACTTACACTTTGTACAAAGATATTACCTAATGTAGGAATAAGAATAAATATTTAATGTTCGAGTTCTGGCTATGAATTGTGACGATATCTAAAATCACAACATCGTACAGTTACGGTAATTATGTAAAGTGATGTAAATAATTACATTGTCTTAGTATTTAGTAACAAAAAGAACAGCAGAAATGCTTTGAAATCTACGAGTACAAGAAGATTTTTAAACGATGACGTTATCTACCTCACGATTTTTCTGTGTCCTAAATGCATTTCAAATAAACTATTTGTAGATTATAAAATAACACAAGACTACACAGGAACTAGTGACCCACAATAGGCATGGCGACTATTTTTTAATTTTTTGTCCGTCTTTTAGATATTTTAAAAATCTTCGATACGTATTTTTTCTTTTTTCTCGTATCCAAAAAAACATGTAGATATTTTGAGTTAAAATGACGCGTGACGTCACAATTAGGTACGATTTCTCCGTAAGTGTGACGTCAACACTCCCCACTCCCTAACTTTAATGCGGAATAACTACGTATTCTTCTTTTAATTTGATAAAACAAAAAATACGTGTCTAATATTTTCGTGCGATCTTAATGACGGACTAATTACTTTTTTGATTTTTTTACCCTGTCGACACGCCTATTGTGTCAACCATGTAGAAGAACTAAAGAACTAAATAAGTACGTATTTAGATTTTTATAAGGTACTTTGATAGTACTTGTCATTTTGCTGTAGACGTCTCAATTACGCTACAGCGATCTACTAAAAATAGCTCTCTCACATCATAACTGCTGTATATTGTATTTTGTTACTTCTCAAAACATGAATATGATATATGATTATACGATGAAAATACAATTGATGCTGAAATTAGGGAGTTATCACGAGTTGCTGATTAAACATGGTAAATGCGATCAAGATACAAAAAACAACAACGTGAACCACTTTGCACTACAGTTTTGCTTTTGAAATAACAATATTTTGTAAAAATATTGCTCAAGCTTAAAAAACATGTCCTATCTAACATTGAAAAAGTTATTTAGAAAGTTTCAAAAGAATTTCCTAACGAATTGATAGTGGTGCATATAAATATATGAGTGATTCAATAGAGGACACAACACGTTCACCATGGCCCTTCTGTACATAACCATCGCTTTAGCGATCCAGGTAATTATTTATACTATTCTGTATTTTTTCACTATTTTCTAAACTTACGCAATACGAACTAAAATTAATTCTAAATCATGAAGCTAAACATTGACTACGTTTTTATAGTGACTTAATTTCGTTGTTGGTAGAAATCGTTCCTTCTATTTTATTACAACTTATTAAAAATTATTATGTAATTGCATTTCCCATTTTATTACAGGGTTCATTCGCCTTCGATAATGTAACAGATTCTTTAGAATATATCAACAGCTGTGAAGTAGTAAACACGACAGTGGAAATTGAAAATGAAGTTTTTGTTGAACCTCCACCTAAAGACCAGAAGGAATGGATCGACTTCTTTCTACTTCCCGACACTCACTTGCATCCAACATCTTCAGTTGCCATGATGTCCCAAGCGATCAATTCAGAGAAGTCAGTCGAAGAACAACTAGATGAAATCAAGGAAATCGCACAGAAGATCACTCTCGCTATACAGAGCGAAATGGCGAATCTCTTGTCCTATGCCCTCAATAGTATTGAAAAAGATGAAAACGGACTAGGAGAAAACAGTTGTCGTAAAAAGCGATCAGTTGAAACTCCCATGGCTAGCACACAACTAGTGACCAGGTTGCTAAAACATATCAAAAGTAACAACGAATATCAGAACATTGCCATCGACAAAATGATGACTGCTCAAGAAATTGCTGACAAGTATGGAATTGAGTTCAGTCCTGACACTGAAATACTGTCTGACCTCGCTATTGCGGCTAACCAGCAGGCTGATGAGATGAACTCGCTGTTACAAGAATCTTTAGAGATGAAAAACGTTTCTCGTAGTGTCTCAACACCATTAAAATCTAAAGTGCATCGTGAACAGAAACCTGTTACGCCTGCTCAGCCAGCAACTACGCATCACCATCACGTCGACCCTTACGCTTACAACTATCCTTACGAGACTCAGATCCCCGCTCCTCCTCAGAATTACTACAGCAGCCCGCCTGTAAGTAAGAGACCAAACTTTTACGACACCGTTTCTTACGCTCCTCAGGAATACTCTTACTGCTCAATGGAGCCTGTAACTTCAGCTTCAACTATCATTTTACCTATTGAAGAGATTCTGGAACCTGAACCAGAATTAGTAGGTGAGGAGCTAGAAGAAACAATTTCTTCTAAAGTGTACGTAGATAGAGGAGAAGAACCAGGCTCCGCTACAGTCAGTCATGTCATGACTTACACAGTCGGGGAACGATCACACTTCAGAACACCAGAAATTGAGAGGTTACCTCAACAAATGCAATATTGCTTTTTCCTCGTATAAACTTTAATTACGATAGGCTAATTATTATTATTATTTTAGTAATACTTGTTATGTGTCTCGTCTGCTTACGAACGAATAATAAAAAGGCTGCGATGAAATAATTAATCTTTTTCTAACCTCCTATATTATAATTTACTTAAGATAGAAATGAATGAACTATTTCACGATAATGTTCTAGGGGCCCAGTTATGTGGTCACACTGCTTTCTTTGGGAAAAATAAAATAAATTTCCGACTTACGTCAACTTTAATAGATTTAAATAAATATCCAAACATATTTACTAAATCTTAATCTATCTTATCTTTAGCTATGTTCCTTTGGTTTATATTTGGCACTTGGCATTTAGACTGTTGCATTCCTTTACTTCATTTTCTAATAAAATGAAGTCGAATGCGCTAGTGTTTTGGTAAATATCAAAATTATATTATACTATAATAATAAATACATTACACGTGGTAACAAAATAAATTTCAATTAGGTACATTTAAATATTTAAGGCACATCTATTGCAGGGGAACAGTGCTTTACCAATAAATGTAATATTTGAGATTAAACAATTTGTTAGTACGTAGATACCTTATACAAATATTTGGCTTTTAATCCTGCAGTCATAGGTGTAAACCCATTCCTTTGGTTATTTATACATTTCACTGATAAAACGCTTTCATTAAACCAAATTACAACATTTAATTATGTGTGCGTAACATAAAATATATTTTTATTTCGTTTTTCAAACCAACTTTTTAACATAACCTATGCACCATCTGGCAAATAACCGCTACTAATTAATTTATAACGCCAAAACTAATTTATAATTTTCACATACATCTTTTTCACAAAAAAAAATATCTTCCCTCGCAAAACTACTCACTAAAAGAATATTTTACACAATAATTTTTCACCAAAATCTTTTTTTTTAATTCCGAACATTTCCTACGGATCCCTAGCCCCAAATCACAATCCTGCTACGCATTGACCTATAGGACGTCTGTGGTAACATTTTGAATTTGACTAATAGATACATACATAGACATACATTTTTAGCATTATGGACTTTTAAGAACAGTTGTTTTATTTTTGTCATACGAGTAGGTATGCTGCTTTCGTAATTCAAATGTTACCATAAACAATCAGCGCACTACACAAAATATTGCGGCTCTTTACACAAAAATCAATGTAATTATTCCTTTTACAATAATCTCAAAAGCGGTTTCATTCATTTAAAAAGAAATCATCCATAGAGCCACAATAAATCACTTTTTTTTCATCCCCCAAAATGGCGGTAAAATTGACAGATGGTGCGCGTTTCAGCGACACGGTCGCTCATATCTGTCGCATCGCATTGTGGTCAGCGGCGGCCGGTGTCTTTACAATCACTACCACTATCGCTCGTCGTTACACAGCCAGCTATCTGTGAGCGTAGTAAGCACTGTAAGCGCTGTTGTGGCCTGAGTGGGGCTGGTAGCTGTAACAACGTAAAATATTCTTTAGTTAACGCCTAGTAAGTATCTAATAAAAAGCTTTGTACAGTCTGAGTATAGAATTGGATGCTTCATTTTCATGGTTCCAAAGTAAAATGAGTACAGACCGCACTGGGTGTGCGTGTGGCGGGTAGAGCGGGCCGCACGCGCTGAGCTCGGCGGCGTACGGCTGCGCGAGCTGCGGGCACGCCTCGGCCGCCGACGACTCGCGCCGCCGCGCGCCGCCACGCTGCTGACTCTGTTCGGGGGGACTGCAAACACAAACGCACGAATTAGTTACAACGCTAAATAATAATATCTTATGATTTTTAAAGAAACTTTTCCATTACACCCTAAAAATTAATTCGTAAGCTGCCGCCACTAAACATTTTACATGAGCACGTTTAAAAAATAGATCTCACTAATCATCTTTAGTGTCCAACTAAATTAATGACTGCTAACTATCAACATATGATAGATATAAAAAAATAATAATAATGTCCTCGCCCGCCCAGTAGGCGGAGTCGTATTACAGGCACCGTTCGTGTTAATTCTCTATTTTGACAGCGCGCGACAAATGGCGTATACATTCATCCCAGAGTTATTAATCTACGGTACCAGGAAACACAAAAAAATTTATGATAGTTTTTGTCCAACTCTAACTGTTTATGCACATGACGATTGATTTTTCACAGAAGTTCCGATAATTAATCACTTAATTGCTGAAACGACAATTTGGTTATAAATAGTCGATAGTTTTTTGTACTGATATAAAAACTGTTTTTGACAATAAACTGTGACTTAATGAATGATCGTATCCAACATTATCATAATAATGTTGTCATAACAAGGAATAAGATTCTCACCCAGTTACGCTATTGTGTTACTACGACACTAGACACTACGCTACTGCCCTACTACGCAGCTACGCTGCTACTCTGCTACGACGCTACTACGCTAACAGTCAATTTAGAACTTTAGACTTTGTGGAGTAATAGCTTGTACTATTATTGTTGATAATTCGATTATGACTACTTGATCGACGCGCTAGCCTTGCTGTACGTAACATCACAACTTTCAATCATCATAATTATAACTTTCAGTCCGTTCGCAAATTCATAAAATCTAGGAAAAAGGGAAACCTATTAGGTACTAATAATAGGTTTCCCTTTTAACCTTAATCTCTGTAATGTAAATAATGTATCATATAATCTATATAATTACATAGGTTATAAACATATAATTATATGTTACGTTGTCAGTTTTCTAAATAAATAATTATGGGCAGAGAGACATAAATTAACATTGTTCAATGATTAGACGTCCCGTATCTGTAGGAGTCAAAGTCCGTACTATCATTGTCAATTTTGACCGACTCGTTTATTAAATTCAAAATCTTTTGTTGAAGGAAACATTCCAAAAACGAAACTATAGAAAAAATGTAAGCTTTACATATGAAAGAAATCTACATTACGTGCTCTGATCAATAAAAAAGCAAAAAGCAGTGTGTGCTGTGTGCCTATGCATATTCGTTTATACTTGCAATATCTAATGATGCATCATTAAAAAGTACCAATACGATCGTCTCACCTAAAACATTACGTTCGATTGGTTAAGTCTAGACTCGTAAATTGCTATAAAAGATACCTAAATCGTATACAGTTTATGAAACTAAGAATAATGGGCGACAGGCAAGATTTACTACCAACATGTTAACCAATACAGTGTTCAGATCGACAGTAGCAGAGTTCGTAAAACCAGCAAACTAATATATCATGATCCCTCTGAAGTAAAACGTTTCAATGAAAGAACGAGACGAAATACACACGCGCGAAAGAAAGTAACAAGGATAGCGATACATTCGAAACTAGCTTCAGACAGGTCAAGTTTTATTAAGATAAACACGAAGTTCGTAAACGGTTTAATGTTTACATGTACAGTCAGTTACAGCGCTCTTTGGATATTTTTAGTTAAGTGAGGCTTAATGTGGGATGTAAACAAAGAGGTCCTTATTTTAATTGAAAATTAAACTGTTTGTATAAGCTGCTTTGTAGGAATATACTAAGTACAACCGGCGACAAAAGTCAATAAACATTTTTAACTTTGTTTATTATTTGTTGTTTTAATCTATTAATTAAAACATGATTTTATTTCTAATTTCAAGCAGATATATTTTTCACTGATAAAAAATTAGAAGTATTTTGTTGAACATATTTTTCCGAATAAATGTCTCTTATTCTTTCCCTCAAGAGCTGTAGTTATTAATTTTAGAATAACTTCACACAAGTACATACAACCAAAATCCTATTATAACAATAGTGTTCAACCCTATATAGATAGGGTAGCCCTAAACCCTGAAGCTATAAAATCTATGGGGGGCATCGATTGCATACCATGACGTCTGCTCGTTTGCCGACTTCCCCATAAAAAAATCATAATAGTTTAAAGAAATCCCGTAATTACGAATTCTGTGCCGATCTGTACGATTTTACATAGAACTTTATGTAAAATGCATCCATCCAACAGTAAAGACAAGTAGGTAAACACGTTGAACCGATAATGTTTGTAAGAGAATTAATTTAACTCCGAAGGTGCCCGCCTCCCAGGCGTTTGATCAAAACCAGGTGCCCCGACTTTACCAATTGATCTTTATTTACCTTGGTTGCTTCATATAAAACATCTAAACAGTACATTGTATGTACCTACCTAATCTTACAATCATCGTATGTAATTTTACTGTAAAGGCATGTCTATGAGCTGTTTTGTTAGTTATCATTTATCAATAATATACGTTACCCTAGCCTTCTCATATTTCCCATAGTTATTAAAAAAGTTAGTAAAAAGTTTTTAAAAATGAAAAACGCTCATTTTATTTCCATGGACCTGTAATTTGTGTGACTCCGGTTAACACAGGAAATAGAGGTAGTTTCAGTACATGTTTGGTATATTTAACAGCTATGAAGAAGAGACAGACACTAATTAAAACTGTAAGATATCCTAATTACTAACTCCGGAATAAATTATTGGAAACACTATATCTATAAATTTTGAAGTTACAAATATTTTTTTATTTTGGCGGGAACGGGAAACGAGCCGTGTCCGCCATAACTGTCGCGCGTAACTCTTTACTCTATGGGCACGTCGTAAAAGTAAATTGTCACCGGCTGTTGAAATGAGTTCCGAGGCGTCGCATGAAAACTTTGTAAATAAATTGATTCATAGTCCTGTGTGGGGAGCAAGAGAAATGTGGTTGCGTTTACCCGATCGTTAACGTGTCTCGTTAATTTCTTTAGACGGTTTCATGTCAAAATATGGCGCGAAATATATTGTGGAAATGTTTCTAAAGATCACAGAAAAGAAAGACAAATTGAACTCGAGACAAATTCAACATTTTTCTTTGTCTTTGATCCAAGTATGATATTATAAGACCAAACCGTTTGAATTTTACAAAGTAATTTGGACTCACCAATCATCGGGGTCGCAGTCTCTAAATCCTTTCGCAAAAGGATTGCTCGCTATTTTCAATTGCGTTATCTGAAATATAAATAAGAAAATACTTTTACAATAAATTATTCACCACCACAAGAACTTTAAACTAAAGATTTTAAACTTCTTTAAACATAAAAAAAATACGTATCAATCTTATAATTGTTAGTTAATCCAGACTAAAATGCGAACTGCAAACTAGAGATACTTTAATAATCAAATGACTGCAATAAATAATTCTCCAAACATTAATTCCTGTATAAAATATGGTAAAAAAACGACTTAAACCCCTTTTTTTTCAAGTCAAATATTAATATACTAAAACCTTCTCCTAAGTGTAACAAACACTTTTCTGAAAACCGCATCAAAATCGGTTCAGTCAAACGTGACATAATTGCGCACAAACATACATACATAAATAAACCTCCTCTTTTTGAAGTCGATTAAAAAACAAAACAAAATCATTTGTAAGGAGTAATTCGTTATTGATTCGTATTTTGCACGTTACCTTGTTATGTTAAGCAAAAATCTTTATTGGGACGATAGCAAATTTTGGCCACGTATGCTTAGACTCTTTTTACATGATTACTAACCCTATGGTTCTGGTAAGCGGTGACGGCGGTGAAGCCGGTCTCCGGGAACACAAAGGTGCGGTAGGGCACGGTGCCGGGCGCGCTGCTCTGTCCCTCGCCCGGCAGGTACACCACGTGCAGCCGCGGCTGGTAGCGGTGCATCGAGTTCAGAATTATCTGCACAAATAAATACTCAAATATATAACATTATTCTACATTTAAAAATCTGGGGAGATCTATATATATATAGCTAAGTGTGGGAGAGCCATGCTTCGGCACGAATGGGCCGGCTCGACCTGAGTGCTATCACGGCCTCATAGAATACCGACGTGAAACAGCGCTTGCGTTGTGTTTCGTCCTGTAAGTGACATTACTGGAGGCGCAATTACCCTCCCCTTCCCCAATCCCTGAATCCCCAACGATCCTCAAATTCCTATCCCCAAAAGGCCGGTAACGCACTTGTAACGCCTCTGGTGTTCCAGGTGTCCATAGGCGATGCCGATTGTTTACCATCATGTGATTCGTCTACTCGTTTACCGGCTTATGCCATAAAAATAATGATCTAAATAGATGATCACAACCATTTGTTTGTGTCACTTAATACGAAAACCAAAATATTTGTGTAGATAAACTAAAAGGTGCTGGTTACTCACGTGTCCGTTATCATCAAGCTGGTTGTTGGTCAGCTTGAGTTTATCGAAGGAGACGAGCTGCCTCATCCAGTTAGATCCGGGCGCGGGTGAATCCGGATGCACATGGATGCGCGGCGGCGACACCGGGTCCGCTTTACCCGCCACCACCCAACTTGAACTATAACATCACCAGTTTTTTGTTTAATTCTGTTATCCGAGGAATTTTCGTAAGTTCTATAACACACCTATAATACAATAATGAATAAACCTATAATATCTAGAATCTTTGTAAGGTCTAAATAACAAAGCTCGTACCTGTGGAAAGCATATCGATATCTCTTGTCGTCAAGAGGTACGAAGTCGACCAGCAGCAAGTAGTCTGCGTTAGGCAGTAGGCCCGCCAGCCGGGCCTGCAGCGCGGGAAACATGCGCCGCCCTGCCTTCGTTACGATCATCTCAGTGCCCAACTCGTGGAAGCTGCGCCACAGGGCCGCCAGTTCCAACGTCGCAGTGCATCGTGCCACCGCTGGATGGAGAGTCACGTTTTGGTTCGACGCCTGCTGGACAAACTCCTGTTATTGAACATTATTCATAGAATAACCGACTGAAGAATTTTATGAAAAAGTTGTCTGAGGAACATAGTTAATTTAATAATCCTGGATCGGAAGTAATTGAAAAATGATTGAATATAATATGTTTCTTGAAGTTGTAACAAACCTGTACTCTAGGCGGCGGCTGCGGTGGCGGTGCGGACACTCCTGGATCTCGACATGTACTTTCACTGAGTGCCTGCAGTGGGGAGTATGTGCTGCGCGCGCATACTGAATTCTAGCAACAATATTTTAAAGGTTAAAACGTGCATCGCAATTTACAAATGATATCAAGCTATACAAAGTTTATCGATTTCGTCTGTTACGGAAAAGACCTCAAGAAGATTTTAGTAAATAATTAGATATACGATAGTACTCACATCTCTGATGGGATGATGTAACGGCGGTAGTACGGGAAGTTGCTCATGATCTCGACCGAGCCGCTCAACCAGCGACTGAGACAGTGCAAACCCACCCCGAGGACATCCGCTCGACGATACAAGACCTGCGACCAACACAAAACTATAAGAAACACAGTAAAGTCAGTGTTTATGTATGATGATCTGATAACTGATCTGGAGCCGCGGAAGACTTAATGAGTTGTCAGGGTTCTGGTTCGAAGCAGTAATAGGAACGGTTAGTTTTTTAGTCAGTAAGAGCCTGACATTCCCGCTTGCTTCACCCAAGCCGGGAAAAGTTTATTTTCTTATCTTAGTTATATTTTAGATTTTAGAGATTATTTTTCATCCTTATTAACAAGCCTATAATTATGTGCTACATATACATATTACTTAGGTCTTATCACAGCGGTAACAGTAAACCTGATACGTAACTAGGTGTGCATTTGCATTAGATCAGTACTTATTCTAGGTGTCACATTTTGTATTATTGCATTTTTACAGAATATCTCTACATCACTTTAAATTCGATATCTTTATGCACAACTCATACTGAATTACTAACAATATTCTGTTTTACAAATCGATAACTTTTGTTTAGGTGGGAATACACCACACAGTACCTATATAAGATATCTAATAACAAGTTTGAACGTTGTTTTTTAATTTTTTGTAATTGATAACAAATTATATAAACCATATAGTTACACAAAAAATGTACACTTGTCAAGTTCAGTATAGTTATCATAAAAATTACGTTCTTCATTTTGTATAAGATAACACCATGGTATTATTGAGAAAAAAATGTGAAGGGAAAGACAGGGAAATATTTTTAGTTACTCACAATTTATAATTATATGTATTTATAATTATCCAAAAATATTCTAGTAAAAACATTCAAACATTCGAAAAACATTATAAAAGTGTGGGAGAGCCATGCTTCGGCACGAATGGGCCGACTCGACCGGAGTGATACCACAGCTAATTACCCTCCCCTTCCCCAATCTTCCCAATTCCTGAATCCCCAACGATCCTCAAACTCCTAATCCTCAAAAGGCCGGTAACGCACTTATAACCTCTAGTGTTCCAGGTGTCCATGGGCAACGCCGATTGCTTACCATCAGTCAGGTGATTCAGCAGCTTTAAATAGCTGCTGAACGCATATTTTTTTATTATCAGGTATTGTATTCTTCACAAATAGGAAGAGATGTTGGTGCACTTCGGTACAGTTGTAGCCAAGTATTGTCTATGATGCTATAGAAAGAAAAGACGCAAAAAGATAATGTTATACCGACGTTCTTGAATTATTAATGGCATAAGTAACTAAGTAGACCTTGTCTCAAAACTAATTTAAAATACCTATACATATATTACAGATAAGAGCTGAATATCAATCAAGACAGAATGTTATGTTGCATAACAACAGTACTGATAAATAGAAAGGGACATAGCAAGCAGGTAATAGACATCTAGTGAGGACACTTACACCTAATTAATTCATTTAGTATATCCAAACCACTTCATCTGACTACAATCTTTGATAACTTGAAAATAAAATATTTCAGGAACATGAAATCGATAAATCCACAGATGTTAGGGCTTCAGACACTAGTCACTACCACATTTGTACTCATAAAACTGCACACTATAAAAAAATAACAAACAGTCTCATAAAAACCGTAAAGCGTCCACCCGGCGGCGGACATCTCACTCAACTAATTGGTGTAATGGCGGGAAAAGTCAAAACGCGTCTAAAATGGCGGCAATAATTTTATCGCGCGTTGTCAAGACGGGAATATAAATAAGATGGGTGATGAAAACTATACTTACGTAGAGACGACAATGATCTTAGTTTTATTTTAGTGAGCAATCGACGTTTATTTTTGTTCAACGTACACACTATTATTGTATTAATTCATACTACTACGATGATCTAATCTAATTTTGGAATTATGCATTAATCGAAGGACATATTATGTATGTTCATTTCAAGAACTCGGAAATCGGAATGATAATACCATTATCGGTAACAACCTTGCGCCTTTATAATATATTAAATAAAGGGCCCGTATGTTTTGACCTTTTTTCAAACATTTCGGTAAACCTATTTTAATTAGGTTAATCTGAACTACGCGGATTAGTTTTAAAAAGGTTTTGTAATTCTTTTTAGATTATTGATACCCAGCTTTTTGACGATAATTTAGGAAATTAAAAAATATATGACGTATAAAGTGTAAAATAATAGTTTACTAGAAAAAAATTAACACGTCACTTAACAAACTTCGTTTAATCAACGAACTTCTTTAAATTATGGATTAACCTATTTACTGCCGGTATATAAGACAATAGAAAATGCATTGTGTCTCGCGGAGATCTACGTTCCACACGACGGGTTAATAATAAAGATTTTCTGAAAAGTTTACAGAGTTAGTTCACATAAAGCAAATGTTTTTGTTCGTTTAACAAGAGTCATGTTAATGCGAGACATTTTAATCGTATTATGATACTAATAAAAATACCACAGTGTGAATTCGCGCGCTCCCTGTCCATGTAATCGGAAACAATAATTTTATTCTCTCGCGTTGAAAAAGGCATAATTGTCAGTTTATGAGTTATTTGTGTGTTGTCGCCAGGCACTAATGTGGCTTTTTAGTTAATAAATCAACAAGATTTATGTCAGCAACACAAATATTGCAGTTTTTAACTCAATGGTACCTATATCATGAATTATAATTTAACATTGCATAAAAGGTCAATTTTACCTATTATAAAAGTTCCACTTTTCAATAAATTAAATTGTTATGCTCTTGTACCTACATATTTATAAATTCTATGGCAATTAACTACTAATGGCAATCGCATGAATATTCCATAACCTTACCTAATGTTTGTAACTTGAGCGATCTAAATTTTAATAATGACATTTATAAAGTTCGCAACCACTTCATTTCTCTGCACTTCCCTATGGTTGACTGTAAGAGAATGCCTTAAGGCATTAAGTCCGCCATTCACTGTATTTTGTGAAGAAGAAATAAATAAAATAAAATAAATAAAGTCACATAACAAAATAAATTTCGAGAACGTAATCAATAAAAAATACGGTGACAAATATGTACATATTTAAATAAAATAGAGATAAGTATTTATTGATTTTATTGGAGCAAAAAAGATGTCGACCATCAGCTGTGCATTTTAGGCTAGTTCTACACCTATTTGAATACAACAAATCAAATCATTCCCGCTCTGTTTGTTATTTTATTTCCACAATATAAACTGACAACATTATGTACGACCAGCTCTAAATCACATATCTGAATGGCAAATACCGTAGACCCATTCATTCACTCGATATAATTAGACGGATCGATTAAATGTGGGTCGATAGTTTGTTAGACAATAAATATTGATGGCATGGACAGCCAGTACCAAGGTGCCGCGTTTGTTCCACTCCAGTTGCAATCATATTTGATGCAAGTGCCAAGATCGTGCTCACATTGTGTGTTTTTAAAACGTCTATAGTCTACAGGTACAGCTACCAGTCTGTGTGTTAATGTTATAATGCTTATTAAAGACTAGCCTTAACTAGTAACTTCCCGTGGGATAAAAAGGAGCCTATGGTGTTATTCTAGACCTTAATCTAATGCTAGCTAAGGAGGAGGCGGGGCGCGTGAGGCAGCGAAGCGCTGCCTCCTCGCAACCCAGCCATCGCGAAGGACACACCGGGCGTCGGGGATTGCGGGACGATCTCCGGCCACCGTAAGCGCGGGCCTGCGGACGGCGAGCATGGGTGGCTCCCCGTCCGACCAGAAACAGACCCGAGCGTACGGCGCGTCGCGTTCCGCGCGCGCCTCAAAGAGCCATCAGACCACCACAGATGGGGCCCAATAGGGCCGATGCCGATTCGGAGTTGCGGAGAACCTAACGGGTAACCGGGGCTCCGGCTCGACGTGCAGGAGAATGAACGGGGTGGTTTTTAGTCAGTAAGAGTCTGACACTCCCTCCCGCCTCACCCAGGCGGGAGCAGTCATTCGATGATTTTCCCCCCTTAAAAAAAAAAAGACCTTAATCTAATACCCCTGTTTTAAATTTCATTCCGTTCCATTCAGCCGTTTTGCTTTGACAAGCTTGCAAACGCACAAAACTTTCGATTTATAATGTGTATTACTACATATTGTTTGATACCTCTTAGATAGAACGATGTATAGACTATTATATTATAACGATATTATTTTGTAAATGACTTTAGTTCCAATCAAAATTCGGGTTTTTTTAGGGTTCCACAGCTGTAAAATAAAAATATTGACAACCGAATATTTTTAACCTAATCTCCTTTTTAGATATCGGTAAAATAAATAGAAAATAATGTACGTAATGTATCTATTTAAATATAGAATCATATATTAAGATGGAAAATCACTAAGGAACATATATACCACTTAATATATGTAAATAAATTAAATTATAATGACTCGTTCGATAATCTAATAACACAAATCAGGGGAACTAAAAACTATTAAAACGAATGTCAATAGGTTATTGTAGTTCTAAGTACTTGTGTCAACTACAATGACAGCTGGTATCAAGGTCGACAACTTTCAAATTATAAGAATACAATTCCCGGCGGATATGTCCGTGTAATTCGTTACTAACTAAATATAGGGATCAGTTTGCTAAAATCAAACATAAAAAACAGGTAAATTGATCTAATCTAGAACTAGGCTGGCATTCACAGTGGCGATAAAAGTATCAAGTGTCAAGAAGGATACTTTTCTATGGTTTCTGTATGAGATACAGAGTAATGACGTCATCATTTAAATAAATAAATCATATTTTTGCGTCAAATATGGCATAGACTTATTTCTTAAAAAATAACTAAAATTATTCGAAAATGAAATAAATCATCACATTAAAAAATTAAATTATGGTAATATTGAATAATTAAATAATTTTGGCTAAGGGAGGAGGCAGGTCTAATCTCTTTGAAAATACTGTTTTATATAACTCTTCACTTAAATAAATTAGGAATCCGTTAGCTTAGTTTATTAACTTATTTCTATTTTTATAAAAAAAAAACATATCTTAATTTAAATACCTCACGTGCGTTATT